AAATTATTTTGTAACACAAATTTGGACAACCACACCAACACATATACATACATTTATGCACAAGTACTTATGCGCTACCGAAGAATGCAATTAGTTGTTAATTTGAAAGACAGCGAAAACTACAGCGATATCATTAATAAAATATGCATTTCAGTTTATATGTGTGTGTGYGTGCGTGTATAATTTCCATGCAACGCCAATAAATATGCAATAATGACAGTTGGATTTTTGGCAAATAACAATGACAGCGACAACAAACGACAATGAGTATGACTGTGACAACAACAACGGCTGTGAAAAATTCTACATTACTCGTGTGAGTGTGTGTATGGTTAATCGCAATCGTACAGCGGTATACGGGTGTGGCAAACACAAAAACAAAGTCAGCACCGCTCCCATTCGTCGTTGCCGCCGCCGCCGTCTACACTTCAAAGTGTCATTAAATGCACCGCAGAGATTTGGCTGAAAATAATAAAATTCGCGCAGAGCTTACAAACGCACACGCATAGCAACTGCAAACGACTAGCTAACGCCTACATGCAYGACATGACAGCAACAACGACATGTAAAAAGCAACAATACGCTGCAGTGCAGAAATTAACAATTCATGTTGTTGTGCTTTTTCTATGTTTTTGTTGTTTGCTACGTTTTGTTGCTGTTGTTAGTTTTTTTCTGTAGTTTTCACTTTTGTTGTTGTTAACATTATCGTTATTTTTGAATGTTGTTATATTCAGTTGTTGTTGTAATTTCTATTTTTTTGTAATATCTATTGTTGTTGTTGTTGTAAATTCTAATGTTTTTTTCGATGCTTTTATTATTTTCGAAGTTGTTGCTTTTAGTGTTGTTGTTGTTTTTAATGTTTTTTGTTGTTATTACTGCCGCCATCCTTATCGTTGCCCTGCAATGTGCATTGTACGTGTTTTTCCGGCGAAAAATCAACGTTGAAATATTGGCACACCCCATCGTTGGCAGGGAAAAAATCATAAATTGCATTAATATTTTATTCACGCATAAATAAGTGGAATAATCTCGTTGCTAAAAATCCACTAATAATACAAACATAAAATAACACCGCAATTGCAAACGCGTTCGCATTTGGTTAACCCATGCGCTTGCATTATGCTGCACAGACACATGCCTTCCTCGCCTCGCCCTAGCCCTCCTATCCCTCGCTCTCACTCTCTCCTAACATTCCGCTACTTTATTTCTCCCTCTCTCCTACACGCGCATTTCGCGTTAATTTCGCTATGCACTGGTTTTTGCATATTGCCATATTTACATTTCACGTATACGCGCTAATACACACATTCCACTGCCTACTTTTAGGCGCTGCGGCGAATATGTCTACTAGCTGCTATTTTGTTGTTCTGTTATTTTTTTCTGACAATTTAGCACTCGTTGGTGTTGCGTTGGCGACAACATTGTTAACGGCACTTCGTTGCGCTGGTGCGCACTCATTTCGTGTTGCTGAAAATGCAGCAACACCAGCAACAACAAAAATAATAGAAATAACCACTAACGCGTTTTACGTCTAGCAATGCATTTGAAATTGCAATTATTTCGACGACTTGATTTTGTCCCGCACTGCATACTATATAAAGCTGTGCACTGCACGGTGGGTGGTTTTGTTGCGTTTTGGAGTAAAAAGTGGCAATGTGGTTTGGGCTATTGCGAATGTATGTGAATGCTTAGAAAATTGTGGATAAAGTATGAAGTGTTTTACACCTAAGTTTTTACGCAAAATTTTCGAAAACTTTTAAAAACTAATTAATATTAAATTCTTTATTTTGACGAAAATAAATTTCTGTGGTAATACCAAATAAACTGAACAACGGCGCCAAAAAAAAATTAATTTAAAATTTTTAATCAAAAGATTATCACCTYTAAACTAGGTTCTTGATCTTGTATCTTCGAAGTAAAGGGACTCAACCRATCAAATTACGATATCTCTCGGCCACTAGCTTATTACCACTCAAATCTTAGCTTTAATTGCTAAAGTATTATATTCAAAGACTTTCTAAGACAACTATCACTAATATCTAAACAGTATATCATGGATTCTTTCATATTTTTCACAGCCTCACTGTCCAAGTTAGAGCAAAAGCGTTATCCTAAGGCTCATCCACTCGCATTGACAACAAAAAATACATTTTTCACTAGTTATAATAAAAATTTTTATTATCGCTTTAAAAAGACACTCTTTAAGCCAATGCACGAATGTCGACGCTTAATCCAATTTTCCATTAATTTGTTAGAAGAGTCGACTGGGATGGCATCAGTGCCTTCCAGTTCGGTTTGAGCTTATTTTTGAAGTGCCATTAGCTTGATTATTGCACAGTTTCGACGTCATATTCCTAAACCCAAATCTTGTCAGTAATAGTGATGCCTTTAGTGAATGTAGGATTCTCAGCTACGTTGTCAAGCATCTCGTTTGCGACCTCTACTCAACATCATTTTTTCAGTCTTTTAGTATGCGGCCAACATTAACACTCTTCATACCCTAAACAATAACCAAACTTTCTTGAGTCGATCTATTAGAGATTTTGAGTGCCTTTGCTATCATTCTAATACCAACACGATTCGTTTTCAAGCAGTGTTCATTGATTTTTTTTTTATATTATAATCTTTAACAGCGGTGATCGATTCTCATGAGACAAGTTTACGGTAACTTCACGACCTCCACAAAGCACTTCTCCAACATTTGGAACAATTCTGCAGCCTTGATTTGGAAGCACAAAATTTCAAGCCACCTCTGTCAAATACACACTTATAGTCATATGGAGATCAAACTTGACATAAAAGAGGTTGTACCATTCGGGTAAAATTTGAARTAGGACAGTTTTGGCTCAGATATAAAATTGAGCATTATATTATTTATATTGATATTGAATGGTATCAAAAGCCTATTTTGTACGACACCTTGCATACGATTTGCTTGTAATGGTTCCGATAATGTCTTTCAAAATGTTAATATTTTTGTTCCTGTGACACTTAGGCATTATAGCGACAAAAGTGAGCACTTGTTAAGTAGATAAAAAAGCAAAGTAACTATCTTCGGTCCTTAAAAAGCAGTTTTAGTATATATCCCAAAGTCTGCCAGATTGTATGTCGYTTTTTGTTAAGTCAGAAAAGTTGTCAATTGTATGGTATTAACCTCTTATAATCATATCAGTTCCTACTAGGAAATATAAAAGGTGAAAGGTAAAKGATATTACTTTGACCTTTTTATATGATGTTCGCTTTTGTTTCTCCAGCATTTGTTTTCCTCTTGGTCTCTATGTGTTCTTATTCAAACAGAACAATCAATCATCAGATGAGCTCAATCAATTAAGACTTAAATTTACTCTTCGTGTTTGGTGTTCAATTTTTGCCATTCAAAAATTGGTATCAGACAGCTTTTAAGTACTACAAATATTAAAAAAAAAAATTGTAAATAAAATTAATAACATTTTAACATTAAATTATTAGCATGTTACAACTAACAATAAAAATTTTCCAGTCAACTCAAACGAGTTTAAAGTTGTAATTTTTTAGGTTTTAAAACTCGGTTGAATTGACTGAAAATTTTCCGTTGTTTGTCGGAATCATCGGAAAGGCGAAAAAGAAAGTAGAAATACAGTAAAATATTGTTCTTCTGTCATTTATTATTATATCCTGTACAGATTTGTAATAACGTCGGCAACCCTATAACGTATGTATATACGTATAATGTGTAAATGATCAGCATGAGTTGAGCTGTTTATACTTGAACATAGGAATGTGTATATGTGAGCACTGGTYACACAGTTTTTGAGATATAGAGCTAAAATTTTGTACACGCCCTTCTCATCTAAAGACGCTGCTCATTTTATGGAACACCGATATCGAACCCTAWGGCATATCGCTGCCCTACAAACTGAACGTTCCAAATTAAGTTCTTGTATTAAAAACTTTTTTATTTGACAAGCTCTCTTCACGAAATTTGGCACGTATAATTTTTTAAGGCAACACTACTGAATCCGATCTTATTATTTAGAYYGGRCCACTATAACATATARCTGCCATACAAACTAAACGACCAAAATTTAGTGCTTGTATGAAAAAAATATGTTTTTGACGAGATATCTTCATGAAATTTGGCACRGATAAATTTTTAATACAATGCTACAATCTCCGAACAAATTGTTCAGATCGGACCACTATAACCTATAGCTACCCGATAAGAATAAAGTTGTTGTATGGAAAACATTTTTATTGGACTAAATATTTTAATGAAATTTCGCACCTATTTTGTCAAAAATTCCTCCACAATCCTCAAAGAAGTTTTTCCGATTGTACTACTATAGCTAATTCAGACTGTTCTGGATTGATGGATCGATCCAATCAAAATATGAATTATACCTGTGAATTGTATTATAGTGTTTGTGTTTTTGTTTTTATTTTACAATTTTCCTTAACTATCGAGTTTCCTCATAATGCCCAAGAAACACTTAAGTTGGGTAAAATAAAGCGTTTGATAGTATTTTGGCATATTTTATGCATTTAACGAATCAGGTTCTCTTCTCCCTAATTGGCTAAATGGATAGCTTGTCTAAATTGGCCGCAATATAAATTCACCCAAATCATTTTTCGATTTATTATTAATGTAATTGATTTATTATTTAATTGAAATGGGTAGTCGAAAAAATCTTTTGGTATTTTGTCAGTAG